TGTGTCTTTAAACTCTGCTCACAGGCTGGGATAGGGGACTCTGGAGTGTCTGTGTCTTTAAACTCTGCTCACAGTTTATTAGGGAATCTGGAGTGTCTGTGATTTTAAAGTCTGTTCAAATACTGCTAAAAAGGACTGTGGTACCGCTGTCTCCTTGTGTTCCATTAGGTCATAAAAAGCTAAACAACGACCAAAAGTTTTTTAAAAAGAAAAAGTGCACTCTTATCTCTCTGAGCACACATCTCAGACCTCTGTACCAGGGTTTGGCGCCTGTATAAGCACTTGACAGTATTTTGCAAGAAATAGACTGGGACATAACAACGCTGCTCTCTAGTGGACAGTATCTTGTACCACAATTTCCTCCGTTGCTGCACTTTTCCAAGCATCGGATGCCCAGCATACAAAAGCTTTGTCTTTCTCATATACATATAGAACACAACATAATAAAAAAACACAGTTCTCGAAAGCCACGGCCCTGCGGGTATTCCATTTGCTTTCAAATGTATCTCATCTGAAAGATGACTTCCACTCAGCAGTTCAGCCAATGCTAGAGAAGGCTCTGACAGACGGCAGTGATCAGTCCCCTGGCTTAAAAGCGCAGTCTCCCACTTGCCGTAATCGTCTCTGTCATGGCGGCGCACGGTGAGCATGCCGTAATGCCTCCTCTAAGATGGCGGGGCCCAGTGCGACAGGAAGTCCCCTTCCGCCGGTGCGGGTGGTCCTGCAGGGCGAACTCCTGCCGTAATCCTGCGAATATCTCCGCCGCCCATCCTCCAGCTGGTATTTGCCGTAGAGCCCCGCTTTTCTCTCTGAAATGCATTAATCCGATACTCAAATCAGGAAAAGATGTGGCGACAAGCTCTAGTAAAGAAGACCAGTCCGTGATACATTGGAAATACGTGTGCAATCACTGTGATGTGTCACATTTATCAAACACGTGCAGGGGAATGTCTCAGAGCGCCCACGCAGCCCCTCCCTTCTCCCCCCTGATCGGACCTCACGCCGGACACGTTTGCAGGACACAAGGGGTTTCTCCGCATCTACTGGCTTCGGGGCGGGTCTTAACATCGCCGCCGCCGCCGCAGCCCGCACAGAGAGCGGGGAGAGACGCGAGAAGGCGTGCCCCTGCGCCACCAGCCCACAGAGGCGCCAGCCCGCCCGTCCCCCGCCTGCAGGGGCCGGGACGCGGTCAAACCGCGCTGCTCCTCTACACGGCGCGGTACGGTACCGGAGCCGCTATATCCCACACACGGGCAGGCTCCCGGCAGCGGCCAGTTTCCAAGATGGCGTCGGAGCCGGATTACGAGTCCATCCTGCTCGTCAAGCCCGATATCAACGTTTACCGCATCCCGCCCCGCGCCTCCAACCGGGGCTACAGGTAAGCACGGGCCCGGGGCGCGCCGCTGCCCATTGAGGGCTTGGCCCGGTTCGGCCGGCCGGGCTGTCTCGGTCCGGTGTGTCGGATTGCCGAGAGCCGCTATAGACTGGAGCGGTGCGCTGGGGGAGGAAACCGGGCGTGCGGTGGTAGTAGGGGAATTACGGTACTCGCAGGTGTCGGGCTGTGCCGTGGGCTGTCACAGTGGCCGTGTCGCGGGTGGGGTTCGCTGGGTGTTTTGTGTGGCGGGGCTCACACCCCCCCCCGCCGCGGGGACGCGTCCTGACCTCCTTAGCTCATCCGCCTGCCGCTGCCGCACCGGCGCATCCTGCAGGTGTTGTTGCATCCTCCGCCTCCGCAAGCGTGCGATCGGCTCCGGGTTTTACTCTGCTGACAGTCCGGATCTGTTGGAAGGCTGATCCAGTCCCGGGTTTACTTTTAGTAGTCTGGATCCGTTGAAAGTTTTGATCCGCTCCGGGTTTTACTTTAAGAATCCGGATCCATCGGGAGTTTGGATCCGCTCCGGGTTTTCCTTTTAGGAGTCCGGATCCATTGGAAGGCTGATCCAGTCCGGGTTTTCCTTTTAGGAGTCCGGATCCATTGGGAGTTTTGATCTGCTCCGGGTTTTACTTTTAAGATCTATTGGAAGGCTGATCCAGTCCGGATTGTCTTATCGGACAGTTTCACAAAAGCGTGCCTGGAGCGCAGAGGGGCACATTCAGATAGAGACTGCACCCGTAACTTTGTTCTTACCC